TTTAGTTTTCTTGTGTTGTTTCATTTCTTTTACACTTCTTTACTCATTTCTAGTTTCCCTCTTTCATTTGTGCATTTGTGGTGTGTTAATTAAGTGTTCTCTTTGTACTCGAATTAGAACTTATAGGAAACCGACAAGTTCTTCGTGGGATCGACCCCGTACTTACATAATCTATATCTCAATAGATTCGTGCACTTGCGGGTATTTTTAATTGGTTGTTTGCACATTAATTTGTGTCCTTTTAGGAATGCAACACTCATCAAAGGAATCAACTGTTCCTGGTTCCAAACGGTAGAACCAATTCAACGCCGCCTCCATGAGCGAAGAGGGGAACAGCAGGCACTCTCCTTCGTCACTCAGCCCTCGGCACCCCACGGCTGATTGGAAAGAGTGAAGGTGCGTCAGAGGGTCCTCCACGCCTGTGTAAGCGGATATGCGTAGGGGCTGCACATCTCTATCCTGCCTTGAGCGCCTTATTCGCTCAGTGAAGGGTCCTGGCCGAAGCCTTCCCCAGTCGGGCTCTTGTGAACGAGTCCTCTCGTCCTCCATTTTCTGCATCCTTTGTAGGAGAAGGCGGATTACCGGATCCCAGCTCGGAATTTCTTCCGTAGTATGATGCTCTGACTGCAGCGGATACCCGATCGGGTTGACCTCTGACTGCCTCGTTGGCGTTGCCGAACGGTAAGTAGATGACTGATTCGTGGAAGGGACGTACTCGTGGTCAGATTCTGGCAATGATTCCAAGACTTGTATCCTTCGTATCGGCGACTTCCTTCCCAGACTTCTCAACCGGGGATCGTCTAGGCGCGCCTTTATCCCGATCGGCGATCCCTGCCGTTCGGTTTGCCGTTCGGCCTCCCGATCCATCAGCCTATGGCGACAATCGGAATAGACCTTTTTCGGCACATAGGGCTTATTTTTTGGTGCCGGGACTACCAATTGTTTGGACGACGCAGGCGTTGCCTCGGCCACCCTTTTGCCCTTCTTCTGCCGATGGGGTGTCTGTAAACTCTGAGACGATCGGTCGGCCTGAATGCTTTGCATTTGCTGCTGGTTAAGCAACTGCTATGTTTCGTCTACTCTGGACGAGAGGACATTGTTGTGTTCTTGTAACCTGGCCATATCTTGCCGAAGGGATACTACTTGGGCTAAAAGCTCCGCATTTTCAGCGGTTTGGAGCACAGGGGAGTTAGTTGCCGGCGTGTATGGGGGCAGCGCTGGGCTTGCTCCTCCAGGCATGCCGAACGGTACTCCTTCCTGTGGCAAGAACGTGGTTTTTGATGCGGTCCCCATTTTTAGGGATAAAGGGTCGATTGTTTATCGTTTCCCACAGACGGCGCCAAACTGTTGACGCCAAAAACTGGTTCACAGGCTTTAAGGGTCAACTTAGTAATTTTGTAATTTTATACCCTCGGTATCGCTAGATCTTCGGTAGGGAGTGTGATCTGCAAAATGAGAAAACGCACTGTAATACTCAAGGCACCGGTGTGGTACCGGCCAAAGGCTCTCCGATGCTTAAGTAAGTTCAGGATTTAGAAAGTTCAACTGACAGATCTATAGGCTTGTATGCCGTAAGTTCTAATTACCTTTGTTTTGGGGTAGTTGGCCTCTTTTATAGGCCTTGGGAGGTGTGCACTTTGTTGGTAATTTCAATGTGGGACTGTGGACGTCGCTTGGGAGCATGCCACGTGTCCCAGAAGAGTGTGTTGACCTAATGGAGCGATCGGTAGGTAGGGTGCCGAGGGCGTCCCTGACCAGACTCGATTTCCTCCACGTGTCTCGTTCTCATTGGCTGTTCATTTTGGGTATAAACAAATATATTAGTATAACCAGACACTAGTGTGATGTTTTGGTTACTGATATATAAGCTTTGAGCTCCACCCTTAATGGAGTAGTAGTTACTAGTTACAATCATTTCGAAAATGTATGATTATTTATTACTGCATTTTGAAGGTCGTACACCTATCAATGACCTACTTACCTTCAGTCTGAAACATCCTACCCTTAAACACCAAAGATTGTATCCTTGTTAATATTGTTTCGATTATCATATCCTTGTGAATGTTGTTTATTTCCAACTGTTGACACCGTAACTAACCGAGCAACTAGCTAAACAAGATTAGCCATGTGCCATGCTTTGAGAGGTCATCACCTTCGCCAAAGAAGCCTTGCCACAAGTCACCACTAGGGGCAATGTCAAGAGTCCCACATTGGAAGACTACAAGAGGTGGACACTCCCCCTCACCTATAAAAGAAGACTGCTCTCCTCTTAGAAAGGGATCGGATCCTATCCTATCCGAGACTAGGCTGGGCTCTCTCTTCAGGACTCTCCTGCTAGTCTGGCCTTCGGGTCCTGGGTCTCCGGACCTAGGGACTTGACCCCTAGGCTTCAGATTCCTAACTTTGTACCTTAGGCCCTAGGCCTTCTTCCATTTACCTTTGGGTCTAATCCCCTTTGCACAAATGTAAACATTATTATAATGAGAACATTTTCTCCGTGGACGTAGCTCATTCATTAAGGGTGAACCACGTATATCCTGTCTTCCGTATCTTTATCGCTTGCCCAAATCTTCACACACTTGCTGAAGGTCCACACCTTCACCCATCATCCATCATACCCAATCACTAAGTTGGACTCAATCTTGACCGAACCATTTTGAGCATCAACACCAACATTTCAATATTGAATGAATATTGTGTATTATTTATTATTTCCCCTCTTTATTTTCGAAACTCACAATGTCTAAATCTCTCAGAAGTTAGCAGGCACTTTGTCTGTGGCAAGTGTTTTTCTCCTCTTTTCTTCCTCGCCCGAATACATACTGGTTTTGTGCATTTCAATATCATGGCTGCTAATGTAGAAAAGATGAACAAATGAATCAGCATCTCGAAATAGAAATAGTGGTCAAGGGCCAAAAGTTTTCTATTTCTGGTTTGAGTACAATTTGGTATGTTTTTAACTTTGTCTATTGGATTTGGATAACTTTTTCTAATGGTATTGTAGGATGGATTCGGATCCTCTGCTTGGTTTAGGATAGTCATAACAATATAGTTCGAACTCATTTGAATTGTACCGTTTGTTACCATAAAGCCAACCTCAAATTGTTGTAAATGAATATGCTATGCAACCAGATTTTCACCTCCAACGAATTGTGTCTCATCATATACTTTCCTCAACTAACTATCAATTTAGCAGTATATCTCTCAGTTTTGTTAGGTAAGGAAGACTTTGAGTTCCTCCCTATCTCAAATATTTATTTAGTTACAAATAACTTCTTCTTTTTAAGCAAACATGGTAAGGTGATCTAAATAATCACCTAATTTTATGTGACAGGTGTAGGTGCTTTTTCGTTCTAACAGCTCCATGTGGGCATGGGCTGCTGTGAAGAGAGTGGATGATGTCGCCCCTTTGCCTGAGTTCAAGAATCAAACCCCAAAGCACTCCGAAAGCTTATGAATCCTTAAGGAGTTTCTCTCACCAAGAGGATTAGAAATGACAAAAGAGAACATTAAGGCCCCATTTGGTTCATGGGAAAGGAGGCTTGGGGATGAGAAATCAATTGTTTTCCCATGTTTGGTAAGTCCAGGCATGGGAAATCGTTATTTGGCACATGGGAAAGTAGGGGGGAAAGTGAAGCCCTCCTCCCAACTTGGGTTTTGTTTTCCCTCCTCATGGGAAAGTTATAGGATTACATTTACCTTAACCTTGTAATAGGGATCCTTTCTATTGTAAATTATAGGATTACAACATTATGTATACACTTTACAAGTTTATGGAAAGTTGATGTCCAAAGCATTATGATATGATTCCTTAATATTGTCAATCATAGTGTTACAAGATTATAGATACACTTATAAGTTTATGGAATGTTGAGGTCTAAAACATGGTAAAAAATGTCCTTAATATTGTAAACCCTTGTAAGATGTGGAACCCTATTGGACAGTACAATAGATTGATCTTAATCAATTTTTAACTCTAGTCCATTTGGTGATTAAAAAATTTTAGGTAAGTTTTTATTTGAACCCAATTATTTTATAAGTAAACTCAACCAAGTAGACATGCCAATGGATCGGATTTTGATTTGAATGCAATTCGAATTCGATGTAATTAATAGGAGATGGATTGGACTTCTCAATCTGATAATCTGATTACAATTCGAATCCGATAATCAGATTATAAATGGATATGGATATGGATTATAGTTGATCCGATCCGATAATAATCCGATTTGACTTAGTATGAATTATAATTTAATTTTTCTAGGATTTATATTAATATGTTATATGTGTAAATGAGTAATTTTAGTTTTATACGCACTAATAATAAACTTAAAACTATTTTTTTTATTATATAAAATGTCAAAAATTGATATAAAAAGTAGACAAATACAATAAAAGAACGAGACTACTAATGAAATTTTGATTTTGTGTACGTCACAAAATAAATAAGATAATAATTCAATCTGATCTGAATCTAATGCATAACGAATATAGATTTATAGGTGCAATCTGATAGTCCAAATATGTTCTGAATCCGATAATTCAATTATAAATGAATTCTGATTTAGATCGAGGTATATCTGATTCGAATTTGACCTGTTTACAGCTCTACAACCAATGTTTCTTTTATCCCAAAAAAAGGGGTTTCTTTAAAAAAAAAATTACAAGTTCGTTCATTATAAAAATATTGTTTTAAAATTTTCAGAATTACATTAATTGAAAAACAAAAGTGAAAAAAAAGGAAAACTACAACACCATGGGATTGTGAACAGTTGCAGTGGTGTTCTATTTGTTTGTCTTAAGTTCTTTTAGTTTTTTTTTTTTACGAGAGGGGCAGATTCCTCAAAATAACAAAAGAAAACAAAAAAGCAAGACAGGAAGTGGGTGGGATCCACAGTACGTATGAGTATGACTCAAGCCAATGCCGTCAGCCATGTATGTTCATCAAGACTTGGGAAGGAAGTGGGTGGGATCCACACGTACGAGTATGGTTCAAGCCAATGCCGTCAACCATGTCTGTTCATCAAGACTTGGGAATCTTTGGGCTCAAACACAAGTCCAAAAAAGCACAGTGGCTTGTGATTGGTGAGTTTGTTTGTTTATGAATACAACTTTCACTGCTCTCTGCTGCTTCTTCTCTGAAGGAAAAGCATTTGATCATCTTATATTCCAATTTTCCAAAACAGTTGAAGGAGGGATGAGCAGCAGTATGAGCACAACAACAGAAGAATCAGTGCATGATTTGCTTCCCAAGTTCAGATTCCATCCCTCTGAGGAGGAAATGGTGAACCTTTTGATGAAAAAGGTGGAGGGCCAGGACTCCCAAGCCATGCCTGATGAAATCGTTTACAAGCCTTCGGATTTACCTGATAATGAATCTATCCAACTTTTTCGATGCTTCTTGAAGAGGATGATGCAGGGCAAGGCCTCCCAATCCATCCCTGAAATCGATGTCTACAAGTACGAGCCTTGGGATTTAGCTGGTAATCCATTAATCTGTCTCAATTTCTCTTCACTGCCCATTTTAACATTTCCAAGGTATATATGATGTTTGTTTATACATAATCTTGATCAATTATCCTGTTTTTCTCATTTCCAATTTACAATTTTGTTCAATAATTTATGCTGTTGTGAAATCTGTTAGTTTATACATAATCTTGGATTTTGCAGAGCTCATGTTCCCAGACTCTCCATATCAACCTAGGGCCTGGTTCTCCTTCAGCCGACCTGATTACAAATATGCCAACAGTCCTCGCTGCAACAGGGCCACAGGGAAGGGCTTCTGGAAAATCACAGGCAAGCCACGACAAGTCAAGTCTCGACAACTACCCAAATCGGTCACTTGCAAAAAGAGGACCTTGACCTTCCATGAAGGTCGTGTGTCTAAGTCGAGGAACACCGGCTGGGTCAGGCAGGAGTACAATCTCACTCCAACTGACCCAGGTTCTAATCCCAATCAGCTGAGTGGCTTTGTTCTCTGCCGCATGAAGAATAAGTCAACTGACAATGAGTCTGATAATAAGAAGCAGCAGGATGTTTCAATCTGTGTTGAATCAGCTGATCCTGGTATTGCTGGCTGCATGGCCTCTAATTCTGAGCTTGATCAAGCTGCTGGAATTCATCTGATTCCGGAGGCAGAAGAACATCTGACATACGAAGAGCTAGAACATGTTCTCCTTGGAAGTGGCAATCAGAACGATGGTGAACCTGGTGGCTATGTTTCATCTTATTTTGATGATATGATTCAAGAGGTGAGAATTAATCTGCTTTTTGAAGATTTCTGATGTAAAATTGGAAATGTGAAGCACACGAAATATATCAATAACTTAATGCTTGCTTGTTTGTGATTCTTAATCTGGCAGCTATGTGCTAAGGGAGGAGAATATCTAGATTTACCTTCTCCTCCTCCTGAGCCGCCTCGCCAACAACAGCTAGCTCAGCTGGGAAATGTTCCTGTTACTGGTGATTACATTGGCTCTAATTCTAATAACCAAGCTGCTGCTATCAATCATATGATTCCCGACCCAGAAGAACTTCTGGCCTACAAAGAGCTAGAACGTGTTCTTCTTTGCAGTTGCAATCCTGATGATGGTGAACCTGGTGGCTGTGTTTCATCTAATATGCTTCAAAAGGTGAGACTTTTTGAAAATTTTCTGATGTGAACTTGTTGATATGGAGCACAAGAATATCAAAACTTAACATTTGCTTGTTTTGTGATGCTTAATCTGGCAATGGCAGTTATGTGCTCAGCTAGGAGAAGAGCTGGATTCACCCTTTCGTCCTCCTGGGCCACCTGAGCTGGGAAATGCTCCAATTGGGGATATTGATCCTTCTCTTCCAAACAAGAATAATATTCCAACCAACTATGACAGTAAACCAGTCGGCAACACCGCCTCTAATTTCGAGAATCAAACTAGGAGTTCAGAGGTAAGAATCCACATGCTCTTTGAAACTTGCATATACATAATTCTTAATATGGAGCACAAGAAGTACACCCAAACTTAACACTTGCTTGTTATGATTCTTAATCTAGGTTTATTCTCAAGCAGAAGAAAATCTGGAATCGTTCTTTTGTCAATTTGAGCTAGAGGGAGATTATCTGCATGCCAATAACTATATTGGATGCAATGAGTCGCAATCTGCGGCTCTTTTCCCACAAAGTTCTTGAATAATAGAAACATCATAAACTCTTTTCAATGACTACAACCTACCAAAATCATTGGGAAGGGTTTATGATGGGAATGGTGGAGTACCACAGTGACGCAGACACTGAAGTACTCCATGGAAAGATTATCTGTATTAGCTATAGGAGAAAAACACAACATTTTATTCATAGGAGAATATCAAAGGGGACTTATAAACCACAAGAGTCCTTGTAAGAATGTGTCTCCAACTCACATTATTACAGACAGTGATATTCTCCTGCAAATAATTCAACTGTGTTGAGTAAAACACTCACAGTTGTCTACATTTCTGAAACTGGAGGCTTTGGAAACTTGTTCGTAGTTTTGGACATTTATGTCCAGGACAAACGACACAAGCTACTAGTCTGTCACACACGGCAAGGGTTATGTCCAAGATCTTTGATGTGTGTGTAACCCAAAAAAAAAGAAAAAATAGAAAGAAAATCTGTCCCAGCATCTCCAAATTTTGGAAACTTCAACCTTAGGTGAACTTGTTGGTACAAAGAAAGACCAGCAAATGAAAATGGTTGAAATGCTATCTGGAACTCTCTACCCTTCTCCGAATGCAATGAGTACAGACGAAGTAAAGATGTCTTTTCTCAGAAGCAGTCTTTTGGAGATGGTGGTATTTCCTCTTTCAACACAAACTACAGAAATTCCTCAGATCAGTAGTCTTCTTCAACTAGTATATCTATCCTACAACTAGCATCCATTCACGTCTTCACTGAACACATGGGAGGTGCTCCGAGAAGAACTCGAGTGCAGAGTAGTATCACAAGACAAGGTGAGAAAGAATCAAGCTCAGAACAGGAAAGAACCCATTCTGACTTTCTCAGAGCAGTTAAATGAAATATGTTACAATGTAGCTTTGACATTGAGGAGGCTATTTGCTATTCTTACTCAACTGAATTTGATTTCTGTTTGCAGGTCTGGGAAGCTGCAGCTCATTGTACTGCTGTTCGTACTGCTTGAAGCAGGAATGGAATGGGCAGCTGGCACCAAATGCAAGGGTTCTTTTACTTTCCTGGAAGTATCTCCTCCAAACCATAAACCAAGTACCCCCATGGTACTATAACAGGCTTGGTTTTGTTCGACGGTTGCTGTCATTATAGAAGTGGCGCTATACGGAAGCTTCTGCTACATGGCTGCTGGAGTCTCAGTTTAATATATTAGTATAACCAGACACTAGTGTGATGTTTTGGTTACTGATATAGAAGCTTTGAGCTCCACCCTTAATGGAGTAGTAGTTACTAGTTACAGTCATTTCGAAAATGTATGATTATTTCTTACTGCATTTTGAAGGTCGTAAACCTATCAATGACCTACTTACCTTCAGTGTGAAACATCCCACCCTTAAACACCAAAGATTGTATACTTGTTAATATTGTTTCGATTATCATATCCTTGTGAATGTTGTTTATTTCCAACATTTCAATATTGAATGAATATTGTGTATTATTTATTATTTCCCCTCTTTATTTTCGAAACTCACAATGTCTAAATCTCTCAGCAGTTGGCAGGCACTTTGTCTGTGGCAAGTGTTTTTCTCCTCTTTTTGTCCGAGCCCGAATACATACTGGTTTTGTGCATTTCAATGTCATGGCTACTAATGTAGAAAAGATGAACAATGAAGCAGCATCTCGAAATAGAAATAGTGGTCAAAGGCCAAAAGTTTTCTATTTCTGGTTTGAGTCCAATTTGGTATGTTTTTAACTTTGTCTATTGGATTTGGATAACTTGTTCTGATGGTATTGTAGGATGGATTCGGATCCTCTGCTTGGTTTAGGATAGTCATAACAATATACGAAGAAAAAAATATTTGTTCGAACTCATTTGAATTGTACCGTTTGTTACCATAAAGCCAACCTCAAATTGTTGTAAATGAGTATGCTATGCAACCAGATTTTCACCTCCAACGAATTGTGTCTCATCATATGCTTTCCTCAACTAACTATCAATTTAGCAGTATATCTCTCAGTTTTGTTAGGTAGGGAAGACTTTGAGTTCCTATCTCAAATATTTATGTAGTTACAAATAACTTTTTTTTTAATGCAAACATGGTAAAGTGATCTAAATAATCACCTAATTTTGTGACAGGTGTAGGTGCTTTTTCGTTCTAACAGCTCTATGTGGGCATGGGCTGCTGTGAAGAGAGTGGATGATGTCACCCATTTGCCTGAGTTCAAGAATCAAACCCCAAAGCACTCTGAAAGCTTATGAATCCTTAAGGAGTTTCTCTCACCAAGAGGATTAGAAATGACGAAAGAGAACATTAAGGGCACTATGGGACGATCTTGTTGCTGCCTCAACCATGCACTCAGTGTCGTCAGCAGTAGCTCCTTTGGTGAGGATAAGGTCACATAGCTTACAACACTAGTTCTCTAGTTCTCATTGCCTAAGGTTCAAAGCATCAACTGCAGCTTTTACTTCATCAAAATGGGATGACATCTCTATGTTATGGATGACCAGTGCCCCAAAAACAGCACACGCTAAATTCCAGCAGAGATATGCTGAAGTATATCGTTTGAAGAGTTTATTGGTACTAATATCAAGAACCTTGATCCAGCAGAGATATGCTGAAGAACAAGCAATATCAAGTCTTAGTAAAAATTAACACCTCAAAGCATGTGCTTGGCTAACAAAAAATGAATATGATGAAGGCATTCCCTATAGAGGAAAGAAAAAAGTATGCATTGCATGTGGGAGTGATTTGAATTGCTAATAATATTCTCTGTTTTCTTTTTTCAATTTGTTGACCTCTTTAGTTCATCAAACAAAATGTTATTTTCTATTTGGAGGAATAGATTCTATGTTGGTTTTGAGTTTTTTTTTTCTTTTGATACAAATGTCGTTCATGAGTTAGAAATAAATTATCAATTTCATAAAATATTTAATTTCTAACATTTACAATTTCCATGAGCTATCTAGACATTGAAATTTCTATCATTTACAAAATCCGACACACATAAATCCAAAAACTGAAATGACAGAGATCAAAATTCCATCATTTTACAATAATATGTAATTTTTAGTTCCTTCATCCAAACAAAGAGTAAGGGTACAGCCTCACAAATCGCATCCCGCTAACAAAGAATTTTGTAATCAGTAATGTCTCTCTTCCCGTGCATCAGGGCCTTCATGCGATTTAATAATCAACTTGAGTTTAAATTTATTGAGAAAATTCTCAGTGCAGTCAGGACCCCAAATCAGACCAATGTCTCTCTATATTTGAAGAAAGATCAGGATTCATTGAGGATCCAACCACATCACGTCACCAAGAATCAAGTTGGGACCTTTCTTGATGCTCCATGAGGAGGTCCCAACTTGGTTCCTGGTGACATGATGTGGTCGGATCCCTTAATGACTCCTGGTCTTTCTCCAAATATAAAGAGGCATTGGTCTGCTTTGGGGTACAGACTGCACTGAGAATTTTCTCAATAAATTTCAACTCAAGTTGATTATCAGATCGCATGAAGGCCCTGACGCACAGGAAAAGAGGCCAAGTACTGGTGGATCACATGAATGCCCTTTTTTATGTTACAGTACTTTATAAAGAATTCATGTCGTAAGATTACTGATTACAAACTTGGACATTACACATTACCGATTACAAACTTCTCTGCGTGGCCTTCTCCTCACCAAAGGAGGTATTGCCAACGGCGCTGAGTGCGTGGTGGAGGCAGCAACAAGATCGTCCCATAGAGCCTTTTCATGTTCTCTTAAGTCGTGCCCAAGTGGCCCCATACTTGCAACTGATTTAGAAAACAAAAGCCATTTAAGAATTCCCAGTCTTCTTTTACTTTTATCACAGTATAAGTCAACAAAACTATACATATGCAAACCTTCCAATTAGGTAGAAATAGAATGGACAATCGGGTTCACCCTGTTAGAAGCAAAAGATACATGATCAACATAAATTTACAACATCAAAAAGCTGTGAAATAAAAAGAAGAAAGAAGTAACTAAAAATCTGGACGTAATGCAAATAGAATAATAAAAGGCTCATGTGTCGCTTCGTCCTTACCGGTCTTACAGGAAGCTCCTTGTAGTTAAATGATAGTGCAGGGCTGAATGAAACAGGAGGCTTCACAGAAAGTCCAGTTCCCTCCGGCTGAATAGTTGTCCCAGTTTCTCCAATTGTATTCTCTTGCTCGGCTGATGGTATTAGGATATCTTTCGGGTGATGAAATTTGCAGGTTGCACCAAACTTACATTGCCCCGTTTTCAAGTGGAACTGTTTAAAAATTATGAAATGGAATATATGCAAATCTACATCATGGATAGATAGATAATGTGGCTCTCCAGGTCTGGCTCTCCAGGTCTCTCAGGAAGGGATTCACTTGGAGCGACAAGTGGAACCTAATGAACCAATCATAAACTTCTGTTATGTTATAGCAATATAACTTTTGTCTCTTTATCAATTAATAAGCAAATAGACAATAGCACACAAACAGCTGCAATCTATGATCAACAAATTCAATTTCTAAAATTAATAGATTCCTGATCTAAGTGAAATCTGTGGAGAACTGACTTGATGAAAGTAAGCTTGAAATACTAATCAGTTTCAAACATTACTAATTCAAGCAAAAAATCATATTCATACTTGCTGATAACAAAATTAAAAAGCACACATAGAATCAGAAATACAATTGCATACAAGATTAACTTAGAAATAAGCTTAAATTAGCAACGTATGCATGCATCAAAACAGCAACTGCATTCCCACTCTTTGATCTCTTATGATACTAAGATTAGAAACTTCCAGTAAACGTCTGTATTAAAGCAATGAACTTTAATCATAACCATATTCAAGATTCTCACTTTCTTATCAAACAAATAATAAACAATTACATCGGATCAAAAATTCGAGTTAAAATGTGAAAAATATTGCAGCCCAGAAATTTTCCTAGTAACCAAACAGAAAGCGGAAAGTGAGGAACCTTCAGAGGGGCGTTTCACGCCGGGCTCGACATCGGGAGCTGGCCATGAAGACTAGGACATCAAATGCGACGTCGCCAGATACATAGAGCTACTTCTGCAATGGTCGTCGGTGGCGGAGGCCGAAGGGTCCGACTCGGAAAGGTACCGGAGGGTCAGGTCGGATAGGTAGGAGTCGGTTAGGGCACGTGAGGTGTAGACACTGGAGATGCCGGCTGTTGCGGCTGCAGCAGCAGCAGCTTATTGTGCGGCGCCGTATCCGTAGAGATGGCTCGACCCTAAATCCCATATTTATATGCAGATGCAACAGCTGCCCTAGCCTAGAAACTGTGAAATCAGATTCAGGACACATGTCCCATTTCGACTTTTTTCACTGTTGGATTTTTGGGGGTGAGTCGTGTAATTTTATTTCAACTCGAACAATTTTACTTCTGTTAGGCCATCTTGAACACCCAAATAATTCCAAATTATAACCCAATTTTTCTCCAAACTCAAGAAAAGTAGGGGGCCAAAATTTGAGAAAATTCAAATTTGGAGCCAAATTGAACACGAAAACTTTTTGGTGGAGCCCACTGAAGGCTAAAACAGCCCATATGCAAGAAGGAATCAATGGACGCCAAGTGTCGTGATGTTGTTGTTGCAGAAGCTGTCACGCGCCAACTATTGTGTTTTGGTGTCGCACCTTTGTTTTTTTTTTTTTTTATTCCCCCAATAACCCAAATCAAATGATCCATATTTTTTTTTATCAAATAGAAAGATTCATTCAACCGTAGGACCAACCAATGATAAAGTTTACAAACGAACGGAGAGCGTGAGTGTGGCCTCATTAAAACCTTGCCATCCAAAGCCCCGAATGGGGGAAAATCCGGTCAAGGAAAAAGAGTACCACCACATCTCAAAACAAACAATGAACTACACCATAGCTATATCCTTATCTAAAAGAATGCTTAACCATGGAGGAGCACGGTCTTTCCAAAAAAGTCGAGATCTCACTCTCAACCCATGCTGAGCTAGACTATGTGCCACCCCATTGCCCTTCCAATGTTGGTAGAACACTCCAGCCACCTCTCGATCAAACATTAACCGACGAACATCCTCCACCACATTACCAATATTACTCCACCAATCCAACCCATCTTTAAGAATAGAAACAGCTTCTTGAGAATCAAGACCAATGGTAAACCGAGTAAAACCCATGTATCCCATCATCAATAACCCTTCCCGGATAGCCACCAACTCCGTGCCCAAAACATCCAAACCAGGTGGACCAACAGATGCGAAACCACAGATAAAGTTTCCGGCGTTGTCACGACAACATCCCCCCCAGACCCCGACCACCTTGCTCATGTCCCACAGCCCCATCACAGTTAAGGAGAAGAGTATTGACCCGTGGTTTCAACCAACGGGCCTGTGGAGAGACAAGGGGGAGCTTGGACCGCTCCTCACAAGATTTAAACACTTCCAGCATTTCCATCGTGTTTTCCACCATATTATCCACCCGTGTAATCTGTTTACCATGCAAAGAATCATTACGTAGTTTCCACGCACTCCACGCACAACAAGCAAAGCGCTCTAAGTCAGCTTTCGACAGCATTGAAGCCACAGCCTCAAAAGCATCAGCGAAGGTGCCCCCCGCCATATTAATTCGCCGGATGAAATGGGTACACTTCCATAGCTTTTGACTCATTTTACACGACCACAAAGCGTGGAAAGCATCTTCAGGATAGTTCCCACACCTTGAGCACACATGAGACGGAAGCACCCTTTTCTTAAATAAATTGACTGCAGTTGGTAGAATTTCAGTACATGCCTGCCAAAGCAGCATCTTAATTTTGTTGGGGACAGCAAGCTTCCAAATTCGCATCCAGAAGCCTTCTTGAGCACTCTGATCCGATCCTCCCACTCCAAAATC